ATAATCAAACCCACAGGTGTTTTGGGCTCTGTGCCAGGGTCTCTGAGCCCCCTGGCAGGGTCTTGGCCATCCAGGACAGCCACAGGGATATCCTGAATTCCCTTCCTGAATTCCGACACCACTGGAGCTTGTTCCTCTGGCCATTATTGGTATTTGCCATTCCCAACTTGTGCCACCATCACAGCAGAAGATGGAGGCCAAGAAGAGGAAGAATAAGAAAGGTTGGACACGCCCAGATCCCTCCATCTTGCTCCCCTGAACCCCCATTCTAAAAACCCCCAAAATCTATTTTTTCACCCCATGATAACCTCACTATTATTCTTCCTAAACTGTCGTGGCTTGCTGATCTTCATATAAGGTTGGTAATTTGCTCCATGGGTCATAATCAAACCCACAGGTGTTTTGGGCTGTGTGCCAGGGTCTCTGAGCCCCCTGGAAGGGTCTTGGCCATCCAGGACAGCCACAGGGATATCCTGAGTTCTGACACCACTGGAGCTTGTTGCTCTGGCCACTGTTGATATCTGCCATTCCCAACTTGTCCCAAATGTCCCAGGAGGTGCTGTCTGGTCTGACTTCCCCTCTCACCTCCTCATTCCCAGCCCGAGGTAACTCCCTGGAATGCAGGTGGATGTTCCTGTGAGTGAATTCCTGTTGGTGAGCCTGTCTTTCCAAGGGCAGAGCTCAGCAAATCCCCATTTTCCTGCCCACTTACAGTGGGATGGAGCTGTGAAACTTCCACTGGTTCCATTCTGGCTCCTGGGGGTGATTCAGTGTGAGAACACGAGCTGTTCCCTCAGTGCTGTGCTCACAGCAGAGGTCTCAGATGCTCCCTGAGCTCTGGCCAGAGGAGAAGCAGGATGCTGTAATGCCATCTCTTGTTTGCAGCTGGGGCTGGAGCGTTTCCATGGAGTGGGCATCCTGGGATTCAATTCTGCTGAGTGGTTCATTGCTGACATTGGAGCTATCCTTGCAGGGTAAGGCTCTTGTTTCTTGCCATGCATTTTGCTTTGGCAGGCACAGAGTGACTGCAGCATTCACATGAGAAGCAGGTTTTGATTAAACCCCAGTCAAACAAACAAACAACACCCCAAATCCAATTGCTTATATTTGGATTTAATGAAGGTAGAGAGAAGCTGAACTATTTCATAATGAATTAATGAGACAAAAATGAAATACTTTTTTTTCTTTTTTAGCCAGCTGCTTCTCTCAAAATAAGATGACCAGTAGGTTAATCCAAAAGCATTCTTATCTACACAGGGATTAAGGAAATGCCAGAGAATCTCATGTCTGGACTGTGATATCTGCCTTCCACATGAGATATTTTGCTCCCTAGCTCCACTCCTGACATTTCCCATGCCCCAGAACGGAATCTTTCCTCTTGGAATTAAGCTCTCCCCATTTTGTTGTCAAGTCCTTAAAGTTTTCTCTGTGAAATTTGCCAGCAACTCTGCTTGTCCTCTAACTCTGTTTTGCTTTTCTGTTCTGTTTTTTCCCTTTTTCCAGGGGATTTGCTGTTGGGATCTACACTACAAACTCTCCTGAGGCCTGTCATTATGTAGCAGAGAACTGCAGTGCCAATGTCATAGTGGTGGAAAACCATAAACAGCTGCAGAAGATCTTAGAAGTAATTATGTTTTTTAAATGGCTGGGGATTACAGCAACCTGTTGACAGATGTGGGAGGGTGAAATGGTGTGGGAGGGGAGTGCTGGGTCTGGGAGCAGAGATGAATTCCTTGGTGTGCTCCCTGCTCCAGCCAGGTGAGCTGTTACTGCCTCTGTGTCTCACAGAAATTAAGTGGTGCTTTCACTTTTTAAAAACCTTGGGCTTAAAACTGAAGAAGCCAAAATGAACAACTGAGCATCCTCTAGGTTGTCTGGCACCCTCCCAGCTCAAATGATGACTGTTTCTCGTGAGGCAAACCCATTCTTTAGGAGCACAGATGGGATTCTCTTGGCTTTGCATAAAGTGGCAAATCTGAGGAGCGTGCTGAGTGAGGTTACAGAGGTCTGAAAGGCACAAAGCAGCATTTGCTCCTTCTCACAATCTCCCTTTTTCCACAGATTGAACACAGACTACCTCATCTGAAGGCCATTGTCCAGTACGGGGAGGAGATCAAAGAGCAGAGACCAAAACTGTACTCGGTGAGTCCTGGGTTTCTTCACAGCTTTTAAGTGCTGGTTGTGTTCAGCTGATGGCTGCAAGTACCTGTCCCCTGCCCTGGGGCCTTGAACATCTGGGGACATCCCTGTCATCTCATTCCATGGCAGGGCCTTGGAATGAAATTTTAAGGTCCCTTCTAAGCCAAACCAGCCTGGGGTGCTGTGGCTGTGATCCCCTGAGCTGTGTTGGATTTTGTGGACAGTTGGTGTCTGCAGTTGTGCAACCTGGATAATCCATGTTGTAAGGGATTTTACCAGACACCTTGAGCCCCACAGTTACTCCAGGGAGTTGCTTCAGAGCTGTGAAGCTGCTGGGGGTGGGTCTGGCTCCTTTCTGCTTCTCCCTGTGTCAGCCAGGAAACCCTGTGGGGTGGCAGTGTGGGTTCACAGCCTCTTCCAGGGGTGTGGACAGGGAGAACATCCTTCTCTCAGTGTGTAGCAAAGAGTTGTTGGGAAGGATGAAAGTTTGACAAGAAAGTCTCACAGCAGAAAGATTTTTGGATGTAGAATCTGAAGAAGGAATAGAGATGGAAGCAAGTTTTGATATAGAAGAAAAGAATTGCTGAGCCAGTCTTACTGGATAACCAAGGAGGCAAAGGGTGTGTTAGTTAGAAGGGGTTTTTATGACTTAGAGCAAAGGATAAACCCACCTCAAACAGGAAGATGTTTTTACCAAGCAGAAAGATAGCACAGGCAAACAAGTCAGCAAAGTTGCAAGTGGAAAAAAGATCTCAGAATTTTCCACTGCAAGAAAACTGAAAAACAACTTCTAGCTTAAACTGTAATGTACTAACTTTTAGTGATTGGAGAACAGTAACATGAATATGGTAATTGCAGTAGTTCTGATAGGCTATAGATAATAGTTAAGGTATAGGTTGGTTCTACTGTATTAAGATGCTCAGCAAAGAAAAGTGTATAATGCAATGTAACCAAAAAAAAAAGTATATAATGCATTGTAACCTAAACTAAGGGTCTCCAGGCCTGCCTGCAGCTGGAGCTGACAGCTGTGGGCACAGGCTCTGTCACCCACCACCCTGGACTGCTGTAATGTCTCAGATACAATAAACTGCATTTTGGAGAGTGGCCTGGAGTCCCACATCTCTGATTAAGGCTGTTATGGTGGCGCCCAACGTGGGGCACCATTAGTAGGAGGGATTAGTAAGGCCCTGAATGAGGGATGCAGGTCTCCAGGCCTGCCTGCAGCTGGGGCTGGTAGATGTGGGCACAGGCTCTGTCACCCACCACCCTGGGCTGCTGTAATGTCTCAGATACAATAAACTGCATTTTGAAGAGCTGCCTTTAGTCCCACATCCCTCATTTAGGCTCTAACAAAGAGATCCATTGTTGCTGTGGGTGATACCTGGTCCCGTTTTGGTTGTTGTAATGGCCTGGGAAGGC